TTTTTTTTTTTTTTCTTAAAGGAGGGCCCAGTGCCCAAGGCTGATATTCCAATCAATTATCATCGAGGCCGGGGACCTCACAATCTGCCCGGATGAGACAAAGTCTGGGAGCCTTACCCAGTTTCGCTTTTTACGAGACCTAGAGAGACCCGGAAGGTACAGCAAACATGTGAAGACACTACGAGAAAAATATCTGCCTCATCAGCTTTGAAAAGCCGTCAGATTTTAGCCTGACCTATCAAGCAGGACTCATCAACAAACATTACTAATTACAGTATCTCCACCAATGCTAGATGTGATGGGGGAAATGGATCTGCAAAATCCCTGGGGTCCTTGAGAGAAGCTCCTGGCGTCAATGAAAACCAGTTCTTGAAACAGAGGTGGAAGTCCCTTTTAAAGGGGACCTCCATCCCTTCTCCCCCTGGCCACTTCACTTCTCCCAGACTCCTCTCTCCTGCACCCCCCAGCCAGTCCAAGGCAAATTCCTTAATTAAAAGTTGAATATCCCTCTTTCTTTGTGCTTTATATAATTTAGAGCTCAGCTTTTCCCAATGAGCTCTGATTTCCGTTTGTATAAACTGAACAATGTAATCAGAAATTTCAGATCCTTCTAATATTACATTTTCCTTTTCTAGCACACATCTTTTGTACCATAGGACCCAAATCACTGCTTTCCTCCCAATTTCAAAAAGGTTTGATTGAAAAGTTGTCAGTGTGATATTTTGTGGAACCCAATGACCTATCAGAATGGCTTTCCAGTTCCAAGGCCATTCCAACCCAGTAAGCTCCCTCCAAACATAGTCCCATCTTCTCCATAATAAGACCGAACCGGGGCATTGCATAAAGATGTGTTCTATAGTTTCCCTACATTTTTTGATAGGAAAATTTGAAACACATGATTTGCACCAAGGTAGGGCTAAACCCTTCTGTTCTAATGAAGAATGGTCAATAATCCAATCATTTGTGGGCAGACAACGGTAAGCAATCTGCCACTGCAGCGATGAAAGTTTGGCTGGGCGCTGTCTGATATTTTTTTTTTAAATTATATTTTTAATTGTGTTTATATCCAGATTTAGATGCCTGGCCCATCTCTCCCAGAGTATTGCCGAAATATCCACTCTTGGTCTCATTAAACGATATACCGCTTTTACCGACAGTGTTTGTAATGTTCTGGGCTGTCCTTTTTTAGTGGTTTTCCAGACCCATTCCGCAGGGTCAATTGGAAGGTCCGGGATTGGTGTTTCTGGATGAAACACCCTCCAACCTTTAATTGAGGAGATGAACAGGACCCTGATTCGATACATATGTGATGATGGGAAAAAACAGACTGGATCTGATGGAGAGTGAGTAAAGAAAAAATCTCTATTTGTTTTGCTCAGGCTCACGAAGGCTCCCTGTTGAGTCGTATTGACCACCTGTCCTAATGCCTTATCTCCATTAGTCCGGACCCCTACCACCCAGTCTCCATCCTTGAACTTGGGCCCTCTCTTGAGGGCTGCGACCCAAGCTAAGGGTATAGAGAATATGGTATGGTCCAGACTTGTATTGCGACGATTGCACCATGGTATGTTGCCTCAATTGTTCCCCTGATTTCCAATATTTTTTCCCTGAATACCATATGTCCTTGATACGTGTAATTCCCTTTTTAACCCATTGACACCATGGTGGGAAGGAACTATTAAAAATACATCCATTTAGGTCTGTTATCCATCTATTACCAAAAATTGGTTGACGGAGGATTTCCTCATATCTGGTCGGAAAAGGTCTATCCGGTAATGGTAGGCGTCTCCATACTCTTATCAGAGTTACCCAAAGATTGTCTAGGACCAAATCCCTCCTTGCTTCCTCTCTTTCTCCTTCTTTATTACCCCTTACCTTGGCCCTGGGGATTATCCAAAAACGATCTTCAATCCAGGAGAGCAGGTGTATGTCCTCGCTTGAGAGTGGGGCTAGTCTACGAATCTGTTCGAAAGCCATTACCTACCAAGGTTTATCATTAGATAAGATTAACTTTTTTATCCATTGTATTGCAAGGGCTTGGTACTGCAGATTGGGATCCAGAATTCCTAGACCCCCCTTAGATTTGGGTTGGATTAAATAACGCCAGGCTACTCTAGGAGTTACCTTCTCCTGTCCATGATTCCCCTTTCATAGGAACGCTGTAACCTGCTTCTGTAGGAGTTTAGTACTTGTATTACTTATAGACCATAGTGCCGATTTATACCATATAGATGCGAGAACCACATTATTGATGATCAGTGCTCGTCCAAAAATGGAAGTATGCTTGTTCTTCCACTGATTCATCTTGTTAATTGCCGGGTTTGACACCCATTCATCATGAGTCATGGGTTTCCCGACTGCCGTAAGGGACACACCAAGAATACGAACTGGAGCTTCAAGTGGTAACCATCTTACTCTAGGATGTTCCGGGGGCCTATCCCCAGCGGAGTGAATCCACCACCCTTGAGTTTTGTTGCCCCAATTGACCACCATATCCGAGACCTGTGAGAATTTATCCATCAAGGCTTGAATTTCTACCATATTTTCATTTGTGGCATCCACCATAACCGTAAGGTCATCTGCAAACATGAACCAGACTCGAACCTGTGATCTACAGTATGAAACTGGAGGTAACTACCACTTGTACTACCGTGAGAAGTGGATATAATGTGTGCAATGTCTGGGCTGGGGGAGATCATCAGAGCGACCAAAGCCAACAACAGCCAGCAACCAACGTGAAGTCTACACCAGCATACAACACCCATGGACTGACCCCCGGGTGGTGTGCAGGCAGTGCCTGTAATAGTACTTTGCGTCATTCCAGGGGAGTGTGTCCAGCCGTGCGTCATTTTAACGCCCTGCCGGTGTGCGTGGGCGAGGCTGCGCAGTTTTGAACCCACTACCTCGTACCACAATGCGCATTTCCAACCAGTGCTCTAACCACTGAGCTACATCAACTGGACAAGACTCTGTAGATCCAAATAGGGAGGCTGATATAAGCATTCCACCCTACTAGGTCTTGTTTGGTCACGCCATCTATTGGTGGGGAGTTTCACCTGCTGGAAAACGGGTCCAGAGTCCCTCACGTATGACTGAATTTTCAGAGTCCAGAGAATGAACTGAGTACCCCTGATTGGATCAGTACCTCTTCACCCCTCCTTGGGCTCATCCCTCACATATGACTGAGTTTTGAAAGTCCAGAAAATGAACTGAGTACCCTTGACTGGATCAGTACCTCTTCACCCCTCCTTGGGCTCTAGATCCTACTGTAACTTCTGGTACTGATTCTCATAACACCTCCTGCCAGCATTGACTTCCCTGTTTTGTTATTTATTTTTTCTGCCCCTCTGCTGAATAACTGGGTGCCAGATTTCTCAGTATACAAGCAGCTCCCTAGCAACCAATGAGGTTTGGGAAGTGTTATTTTGGAATAAGAGTACCTTCATTTAGGGTATACCATACCAGCAAGGCACGAAGCGCAGTGCCGCAGGAGGGAATGGGGTAGGGAAGTCAGACAACGGGCGAATAGTGATAGTACAGTCAAGTGTTGTCCACTCATGAAAAACCAGGCGATAATCCCATCGAAATTCCCTTGATGACTTGTTTGTTGTTCATCTCTAGCCCTTCAGATCAACTCAGTACCTATCTTTCTACTAGGGCGGCCTGGGTCCTTGTCAAATGAATTCTCCCTAGGTGCTCAGGGTCTCCTCTGAGCCCGACCCAGTCCCCTTCCTTTAGAATAGGGCCCTTTCTTAACTTCCTATACCACGAGAGTGGTAACTTCTCTATAAGTTCATCCAGATTTTGTGCGACATGGTGACAATGTATGGAGATGCTGAGCTGTTCATTACTTGGCCCTGCCTGTTTGTGAGCCAGTGATTCCCAAAGAGAGGTTGACGGAAAATCTCCTCCCACCGATCAGGGTGCTGCCTTTCCGCGGGAGGGAGTCACCGCCAACTCCTGAGCAGCAAGGGCCAAAATTGCTCCATGGCCCCGTTTAGACTCCCTTCCTTGTTCGGCCATTTTCTTGAAATAGTCCAATAGCGATCCTCCAACCAGGTCGGGGGTGCACTCCGAGAGGGGCGGGGAGAGCTTAACGTGCCAGGTGTTCTAGGGCCAAAGGTTGCCACGGGCATTCCGTGGCAAAGATCAGTTTTCTGATCCATTGAAGTCGTAGGGCTTGGGCTTGTGGTGTTGGATCTGTTATTAGTCCTAGGCCACCGTGCTGATGACGTTTTGCAGTTCGTTTTCTCCCTGCCATAAGAAGGCTGCCACCTTAGCCTTTAAGGCTTGTATGGCTTGTTTGCTTAAGGGTCGGACGAGGGATTTATACCATAGTGATGCAAACACCACGTTATTGATTACCAATACCCTGCCTAGAAGGGAGGTGGACTTCGTTCCCCAGTTGAGGAGGCAATTCGATGATGATATCTCAAGGCTGTCGTTTTTTTTCTGTCGAAAAAAAAAAAAAAAAAAAAAAAAAAA